AAAGAAAAGAAAAGAAAAGAAAAGAAAAGAAAAGAAAAGAAAAGAAAAGAAAAGAAAAGAAAAGAAAAGAAAAGAAAAGAAAAGAAAAGAAAAGAGAAAAGAGAAAAGACCCGCTATTTCAAGACTTATAAACTAACTCTTTGAATAGTCAAAATGTCCCTTGAAACTGGAGGAAGCACGTCGACAGTGTCTGTAGCAGCCATGCACACGCGTTCACGGACACTCCCTGAGTATGGCTGCACGCAGGGACACTGCTGGAGGGACCGGCTGCAGCAAGCCCTGACATCCCTGTTCAGCCCTCCATCCCTCTGTCCATCTGTCGGAGAGTCCATCCAGGCCAGGCAGTGCCACCGTCCCTGCTAACCCTGCCTGCTCACAGCTGGTCGCATCTGCTGTCTGTTGAGAAGGCGACGTCTGGCTGCCACACCCCATAGCTAATGAGAAAAAACCAAACCGAACCAAGAAATCAAACAAGCACACTCCCCTCATAAAAACAAGCAACAAACAAAAAACCAAAACCAAACAAAAAAAATCCACAACAAACAAACAAATAAACAAACAAAAACCCCCCAAAATCCAGCAAAAACAAACAAACAAACAAACAAAAAAAAACAGAACAAAAAAACAAACAAACAAACAAAAAAACCCCACCAAACCCGAAATCGAAAAACCCGCAACAAAACACCAGCAAAACCGGAGGTCCTAGTCATCCCCTTCTGTCAGATAAAAGACATTTCTGTCTTTGTGTAGGTAACCAACCAGCATCCTGCGAGTGAACCCACGCAGAATCCACCTTTTCTTGTATTACTTCTGCTGACACTTGCAGTGACCCCGAGCCAGATTTTCGTGCAAGAGCGTCCATTTGCCTCAGCACGAAAAGACTCTTTTTCATCTTGATCCGTCGATTTTATTGGTGGCGATGAGACAGGTCACTCGTGATGGAGTCCCATACCCACGCTCCCTCACCAGTTCTACTTTATTTCGACCGATACGGGGAAAGCGGGGGTTATCCTTTACCCCTACCCCTAGAGTGGGCTTGTCACCCTCCTCCTGCAGATGAAGGAGGTGGATGGAAGCCGAGCCACCCAAAAGGTGCCTCCCGGGGGCAAGGGCGTGTCGAGAAATCCCGGGAAAGGGGAAGCCGCAGCCCACGGCATTCAGGGACAGCAGGAGGAGGCGCGCACACACAGAAACGACCCTTGCCTCGGCGCTACCCCTGCCACCGCCGGCAAGGCCCCCTCCTCCTCAGCTCGGGTTCAACCTACCACTTAGCAGCATTTCCAAATATTTATTCGATTAAATGTATAGAAAAGGCCTAATTGGGCGGTGGGAGGAGGCAAGCTAGTTAGCGAAGTGCTAAGAGGAGTGGGAAGGAGGGCTTTGTAACTGCTGTGCCCCGAGCAGGTTCCCTGCGCGAGGCTCGGGTGGGAGGGTCACCCCTCTCCCAAATCCCACCGACCCCCTGCTTCCTCCCCTCCAACCCCAGCTCAGCCTTTGAAGTGCTGCCACAGCTGCTGGTGAGCACGGAGGGGCCGCGGAGCCCTGCGCGGCGGGATGCAGGGATGCAGGGATGCGAGGGAACTCCCTGCCGACTCCGCCTCCTGAGGAGCTCGGGGAGCCGAGGAGCCTCCGGGGACAGCGCCCGCGCCCTTCGCAGCATCAAGGCAATGTAGATGGGGCTGGTTTTAAAGCAGTATATTGCAGATTACGAATAAGTCGGCAGAAACTTGCTGAGGGACCCCAGCCTTTTTTCCCCCCAGCAAATAGCACGCGATGACGCGATGATACAGTGCTTTCAGGTGCCATATGAATGAAGCTGCAGAGCGGCAAAGGAAAACATCCACTGACACAACGCAGGTTGGGTAGTTAACACTTCAATGCACAATACCGTCTTATAAGCAAAGTTTAATAAGGGATTGAAACACTTCTTTCTAGGCACATACATGGAAATAAGTGCATCTCGTACACCTCCTCTACACCTGCAAGTTTCTCGGCAATCCGTGGGTTTTTATTATTCATAAATATGAAAATCAATTGAAAAATATCTACGAAAAGGTTTATCTGTTTTTATCAGTGGGATAACACTGTAATGAATTTATTTACATCCCATTGGAAGAAACCGAGACCTGTTTTTCTTTTCCAATATCCCCGTTTGATTTGTTTATTTTTAGGTAGAGAGGGGGCTGTTTTTTTTTATTTTGTTGGTTTGCTTTTTGTTGTTATTTTTGGTTTTGGGGTGTTTGTTTGTTTTGGTGGGTTTGGGTTTTTTGGGTTCGGTTTTTTTTTTTTTTTTTTTTTTTTTTTTTTTGTTTTTTTTTTTTTTTTTTTTTTTTTTTTTTTTTTTTTTTTTTTTTTTTTTTTTTTTTTTTTTNTTTTTTAATTTTTTTTTTTTTTTTTTTTAATTTGCCGTTGTTGTTGGTTTTTTTTATTTATTTATTTTGTTTGTGTTTTTAACTGCTAATTCATCTGGGTCCCAAATCACCCATCCCACCATAAAGCAGTGCTGAAAATGTTTCTTTCAGCACCACCCATGTCTGAGCATTCCCTCTTTCCCCCTGTTGAGAGCCCGGAGGGGCTCTGGACTGCCTCTCTCCAGGGAAGGCCCCGGGGAAGGGGCAGGAACAAAGCTCTCACTCATGCAGTGTCCAAGTGAGTGACAAAAGGGAGGATGTCTGTCTGTCTGTCGAACTCCCAAATCCCTGTTCTTCTGTGCTCAGGTCTGGAATTATCCAAATCCCCCCCTTCTCCCCAGCACCTATGAATACAGGCCGTTTCTCCATCTTGAATGGGGTGATGCCCCCATAGAGGATCTGCCCGTAATCTTGATTATCCAGCTACAACCGTCTACTGTATAGAGCTGTTCTCACCTCAGATCTGCTGCGCCTAGAATATTAAAAACCCCAAGCGAGTTGAATTGAAGAATCTTGCTAAAGAAAGAAAAAAAGGAGAAAAAAGAAAGAAAGAAAAAAAAAAAAGGATGGGAGAGATTAAGAGAGAGAGAAGGAAGGAGAGAGAAGAGAGTATGGAAGATAGCAAATTAAAGGGAAAACACTGCCCATGTCTTCACAAACCAAAAAGTCTACCTCATCTAGGCTTGTTTGGAAGGCACAGGAGGTGTCTGTGTGAGGGGGACAATGTTATTTTTAAAGATCCAGCTTTATTAATACATTAAGAAAGAGCTCCCTTGGCAGTATGTTTTCTTACAGCTCTGCCTCAGATCCTATAAAACATTAATGCACTGAAAGCAGTTACAGAGATCTGCACCACCAGCTAGAAGCCTTTACCTTCAAAGGAGCTCCATTACAAAAACGATTTTTAATTTTCTGGGGAAAAAAAGACAAGCTGAAATGAAAAGGGGTTTTTGGCACAGAGCTCAGACCCTGGCAGTGGGTGGGCCATGGTGTGGGATGTCACAGCCTGTGTTTTTTGCATGGCCATGGCACATAAGCATACATGAAATGCACTAGCTCACCACCCAATAAGCAAGCATCCAGCTGGATTTCCGTATTAATGGAGTGGGAATACCCTCCACACACAGCAACTAGATTTGGGGAAAAAAATCAAGAGATCTGTTCTGGCTGACAGTAAGCAGAAGGCATGCACACTGGAGCACATACTGGGGTCTGTGAACCCTTGGAGTGGAAAAGAAGGTAAAACCAAAAAAGTCAGCCTGACGCCAAGCCCCCAGAAGCAGAAAGCCACCATGCCTGGAACAAACAGGACCTATGGCTGGGGATATGCCTCCTGCTGCACAGGTAGAGATGATGGCATATGGTGCCTTCAATCCATGCCCACGGTGTCTGAGAGTAAAAAGCAAGGTGTGAACTCAGCAGAAAATCCAGGTGATGGGAAAAGGTGTTTCAAAAAGGAGCAGGCCAGCCTGATAGGCCCATCAGCCTTGATGGAGAGTTTGTGGTGCGGTTCCCTTGAGGTGAGGTCACCTAAGGCATCACACTACAACTCCTGGTCCCTTTTTCTAGGCCTTGACAGCTCAGCCCTAAGCTTATACAGTCAAGTCCATTTTGGAACATCCTGTGGTTTGCACAACTTGGTTACCCCTCCCAAGTATTTTTTAAGTTCTCCTTTTTAGCACCAGTAAAGGAGTTAAAAATATAGGGAGATTTTTTGTTGTTATTATTTGTGTTTTTCTTTTTTTTTTTTTTTTTTTTTTTTTTTTTTTTTTTTTTTTTTTTTTTTTTTTTTTTTTTTTTTTTTTTTTTTTTTCTTTTTTGTCTTTTTTTTTTTGTGAATTTTTGGCATGTTTCAAGCAACAAGACTCATGGGTTGTGGGGTGATAAGTTGGGTTTTTTTGCTAAATTCTTTTATTTTTTTAAATTCTCACTTCAATTTTAATTCTTGAAGAACAGCTTTGACAACATATATCGCACTCATTATAAGAAGCAAAGGGTTATATCAAAAATTATTAGTATAGAATCACAGGAAATCTGGTTTGGAACCAGAAAAAAAAAATACAAAACAGATATAGATACATAGACACAGGACAATTCTTTTATAATTATTTGGAAAATGTTATTTTCCCCTAATTCTCCTTTTTTTTTTCTTTATGCGCATATGATGTTTTTTAACTTTTACCAAAATCGAAAATAAAGACTAATATATTACAAAAGGAGTAACAATGTTCATGGTAAGTGTTTGCGCATGGAAATTTTGTTGTTGTTTGCTTGGTTTTGGGCTTTTTTTTTTTTTATTCTACACAAGGTTCAGTTCAGTTTCAATGCTTTTATGTTTTGTTGGTTTACTGTACAGCATATATCAACAACAGTCCACAATAAATCCTGGAAGATCCAGTATCCCCTTCAGGTTTGATTAATATCCCCTCAATACTCATTTTTTTTTGTCTCTTTTATTAATATTATTTATTTCTTTTTTCCTCCTCTTAAAAAAAAAAAAAAAAAAAAAACAAAAAAAGACCAAAAAAAAAAAAAAAAAAAAAAAGCGAAACATCACAACCTCCACGGACGACAGGTCCGTCCTTCTCCCCGCCACGGCCACATCTGTGCTCCCACTGGCCCTTACTTTTGTTCAGTGTCCACCTCCCGGGCCCCCCCCGCACCCCGACTGCCCCTCGGTGCGAGCGCTCCCCTCTCCGCCGCTCCGCCGCCTCTCTGCCGGGGGTGCGGGATGGGCTCTAGGAGCACTGGATGGACATGTAAGGCCAGTTGAAGCTGCTCCCCGACAGTAGCATATCCCTGATGAGGGTTTCGATGGGGGTTTTACCTACCAAGCGGACGAAGAAGAGCTGCTCGATGACGGAGGAGGAGACGGTGCGCAGGGAGGGCAGCCGCAGCAGCAGCTTCCCGAAGCGGCTCGGCTGGTTGGGGTACTGGCTCCGCACGTACTCCTCTAGCGCGCACTGCGATTTCTCCTGGAGGCTCTCGATGTGCGCAGCATCCGATAGGCCGCAGGCGTCTGCCCACCGCACCGCACCCGCGGAGGCAGCCACAGAACGGCGGCAGGCGGGAGGAGAGTGCAGGAAGGAGGTGGAGGAGGAGGAGGAGGAGGAGGAGGAAGCGGGGGGGAAGATGGTTAGTGGCTGGGAAGCACACAGGGAAATTCCGCGAGGATGGGGGCCAGCCCAAAAGCGCAGCCCCCATCCCATCCCGTCCCATCCCGTCCCGTCCCATCCCATCCCGTCCCGTCCCATCCCATTCTATCCTATCCCATCCCATCCCATCCCACTCCATCCCATCTCATCCCACTCCATCCCATGCCACCCCATCCCATCTCATCCCATCCCGTCCTATCCCATCCCATCCCATCCCACCCCATGCCACCCCATCCCACGCACCGCTGCCAAATAAATAACATGACCTTGCTCTGCCTCATCGCCAGTGTGGGTATTTTCACCCAGAATATGATGGGGTGCCAACACCCCACTCGTCCCAATCACACACATACACAAACCCCCACACTTTCTTTTCACATCCCCCCCACCGACACTCCGCGCTGTCGAGCGTGGTTTCTGCTCCAGGGAGCCCATCACCGGGATGCTGGAAACCTGGACCAGCCCCCTTAAATAACGCCGAGAGGAAGAAAAATAAGGTATTGGGGAAAATAATAATAATAATAATAATAATGATAATAATAATAAATAACAATAATAATAATAATAAGATAAGCAGAGCCGCACGTAAGCAGAGTGAGACACAAGGAGTTTGTTGACATGGCTGCACATCACAGAGAGGCAGCGACTGGGACCTGCAGCGACTGGCAGGGAGATGGCTGGGAGATGCCGTGTGGCAGGGGAGTCTCCTCTGCTCCTGCATCGCTGCCAGTGATCTCAAGTTTGCGATGTCTTTGTGGGCTTTACGATAAATCTGGTAGCAAAGGGTTAGGTTAGTCCCAGTTTGTGCTCAGCAGGCGTCTGTAGCTCTCAGACACAAAGCTGGGGAGAGCTGCAGTGGCTAAGCCTTGCCTAAATGAAACCAGAGAGACTCTTTCCTTATAGGTCTTTCTGGCACCCAAACGGTCAGAAACATACACCTTGCACCTTGCAGAACTACATGACCTGGGCAAAGGTGCACTAATCTGAGAGCAGAAACCCTTTACATCCACGTATTTGTATCTATATACATGATTCTGTTTATATAGATAGAAGCAGAGAGAGGTACGGATGCATCTGTGCATTTGCGCACACACAGAGACACTTACAAGCACATATCCTATCTCATGGAACACATAACCGAAACCAGAGGATAATTGTGCACCAGCTACTTGTGGAGGGACTTGCTCAGGAAACTACAGCCATGGCAAAGTGATGGGTATGCCCAGATGGTTGAAACCATCCACGTTGTTTCAGACATTCAGAATAGATATTAAAAACACCAAACCAAACAAATGACCAAAAAACCTAACCAAAAAACCAACCAACAAACCAAAAAACCCTCCAGCCATCAACATCAGAGCAAGGCGGTCAGCTAGCAGTGCAGGTTAACAGATCAAAGCCAGACTTTACTAATATAAACATCCATATATGAATTAGTTAATGGCCCACAAAAAGATATTATAAAAATGTGAATGTAGAGTTGTGACCCTGAAAAGACACAACAAATTAACAAATTATTCAAAGCTAAAAATAAAATAAAATCTGTTGCACAGGCATTTTGGAAGCTTAAGTATTCCCTTACCAAGAACTGACTTTATAAAGATTTCTGAACACCTTCATCTACAATACTATGGCCTCAAGCAAAAATACAAATAAAACAAGCCATAATTTAGGAACTTCTGAGAAGGAGAACCTTTGACCTGAGCTGTGGACTTAGCATCCCTCAGACACACTATTATCTGAGATAGGCTGCTCTGCTAATCCATACTCTACCTTTAATGCAATGATATTTTGCAACATCTAAAGCACCAGGTTGCAACATATATATCTATCAAAAGCTGGGGCCTGTTCTTGTTTGCAATACATATCAAAAACCACAGACCTGTTCATATGTTGATTGCCACAAATCAGATTCCATATTTACATATATCTTGCTATTTTACATGCATTATCTGCCCATTATGCATTAGGATCCTATTCAACTTCCAAACAATGCAATATGAAAGGGTCTTACTGACACCCTGGCAGAGCTTTTTTCTTTATGCCCCATATGTCATACCCTTAAGGTTAGTAAAATATTTATCAGACATTTACAATAAGTGCACCTATAAGTGCAGGTCACTGGACAATGTGGATGGCGAACCTGCTCTCTAAAAGGGCATCAGCCTGATATGTGTGTGTGTTTGAAAAATTGCCACGGATTTTGCCTTAGAACTCCAAAAACTCAGAATTTTCTCATGCCACAATATCTGTTTGGCTTAAACTATTTTAAATGGTCTGCCATATGCCTTCACTTGGATTTTATTTCACTGTCTTAAGTGGGGGTGGGAAGGCTCAATTCTCCCTTCAGAATAAGATTAAAAATAATAATAATTAAGGGATCCACAACTTGATTAGATTATGCAGCCCAGAGAGGTGCAATCCATGGGAGAAATAATGCAATCCATGTTTACTGAAGGTAAATTATTATTCCATCTCAGAAAGTGGGCTAATGTGAAAATCCTGTGTGTGCTTTGCGTTTTTATATGGCAGTGTGTCAATAAGGGAAAGCTCTATATTTCTTCTTGCAGTCCATGGAAAAGAAATTATGTAAATAAATAACCATTACTGTTCAACATACTCCAGCCTTCCCCTTTGTAGTGGTGGTAATGTATTTCATATTACATGTTCAGAAGAGTTTAGTGTTCAGAAAATAGGACGTAATCAGTTGGCATCTAACTAGAAATCAAAAGTTCTTATTGCGTTGCAAATAGATTTATTTGATTTATGTTATCTGTCTCTGTCTGTCTGCTCCTGGAAACATTTATTTATGACAATGAAAACGTAGATGAAGAAATTAATAATGCTAAAGCTTGGCAGCAGGGAGAAGGAGATGAGCGCATAGAGGAGGGTATAAGAGAGGAGGGTAAAGGCGGCAAGAAAGGAGCTGGTTTTGGGTTACTAAACAGCATTTGGATGGTGTCCAGAATTTTACAGAATAAATACATGCTCTCTGGGGTCCAAATATAGAAACCACAACAGGAAAAATCCATGCCAGTTTTAAATACTTAGTCCTTAGTGAAGGACTTTGGACAGTATGCCTAAAAATGTATTTTCTGTCATTTAAAGTTTGTTTAAAAGTTTGAGAAAGGTTTCTCATTAATTCCTTTCTGAATATGCAATGAAAAAAAGTTTAGTGAAAAGTGGAAATGCATGCATGGGGTAAGGAGTAGTGGATTACTCCTGACAGCAATATTTCTATTTTCTGAGATGCCCTGCGTGATCCTGCTCTGAAATAATATTATTGTTCCCTTCCTTCATTCTCCACTCCACTGTGGGAAGGGGCTTCTCCCCTCACAAATGTTATTACATTTGGTTTTATTATATGTAAATGAGGGGATCCTCTAAAGCCACTTACCCTTTTTCTACCCAAGGTCAATTGTTTCAGAAGTAAAGGAGGAAAATTTTGGGGAACAGGGAGAGAGAAAAAGAAGGAAAAAAAAAAATTCCCTCAACTATGTCCCTGTCAGGGGCAACTTCCTTCACAGGGCCTTTGACGTGTGGAAGGGCTGAGGCACAGGCCAGGCATTTTCCCAGCTCTGCTTAGGAGGAATCTCTCCAAGTTGCGTCTAGGGAAAAAAAAAGGTTCTCCTTGACTGTGTGTGTTTATTGATGAGCTCCCTGAAACGAATGGGAAAGGAAAGTCCGGGAGTCTGCAGGCAGGCTGTGGAGTTAAATCACCCTGATAAATGCAGGCAGGTCTCTTTGTCACTCTTGAAAAACATGTTTCCATCAAGAAGACTTATTATGATAAAATACATTAAAATGTCGAGTTGGCTATTCAGTAAATCTTCCGTTTGTTTTAAGATTTGCACATTATCCTTTGCAAAGAAATATTCTCTCCAATGCTGCGAGACTGCATTTGCACTGGAAGTAAAAGGGGGCAGTCACAGTACATGTCTCTGACCACCCTGCATACAAATTAGATACTTCTGTCTAAATAAATTATCTGATGTTCAAATCGATATTAATACTACATTTGCTACATTACAATATAGTGCAAATTTAGGAGACATTTTAATACAATGTAAATACTATCTTTCGTGCTTGAAAGGCAGCAAATATTGATGGATTATGAACTGCTCAGTGTTAAACAAGGCCTTTGAACGATTTGCCATCTTTGTTCAGGAATGCTTTTAATTTTGCCTTGGTCTGGTTTTAAGTCACATTTATCAGAACTGTTTAGTTATTGCTAATTGGGAAAAGAGGGGAGAAGCTCATACAAGAGAGGAGCTAGGGGATGGGGAGAGGGGATATAAAATATGGAAAAGAAAAAAAAAAAGAAAAACAAGTTGGAAAGGTGGCAATTAGCCACATCGTGATGATAATTAGAATAATTTAAAAACTACACTGCCCAGACTCTTATCTTGCCTTGTTTCCATTTCCTATATTTCCTTCACATAGTTCCCCTTTGATGTTTATAAATTCTCCCTTGCAGGTTACAATAATAGTGTACATATTATATTCTTATAGGCTATGACCAGAGCACTTCAAAGGCAATGCTAATGCAACTTTCCTGCTAGTTAATTCAAACCATCTATCACAGGGAAAAATTGTTAACATGCATGTTTCCACCGCCTACACTTAATTTGATTTTGGTTTTTAGTATTATTTTTTTGGAGGGGCTGTGTGTTAAAGAGCCAGTATCAGTGGCAATGAGGATGATCCCTGGACTGGAGTGTATCCCCATCAGGTGCTATGCTTCCTTGACCTCCAGTCCCTTTCCTTTAAAAATTATTCTATTTAAATTTCCCCCTTATTTTCCTGCATGCGGTTTGGGATATTTTTTTCTTTTTTTCTTTTTTCTTTCTCTTTTTTTTTTTTTTTTTTTTTTTCTCTCCAGACATCTCACATCCCCAACCCGTCCCCTCACCTGAGGTGAAGAGGACGATGGCTTTCAGGCAGCTGTATTCAGCCGAATCGACGTGCAGCGCCTTCAGCTTCTCCACCTGTTCCTGGAAGATGCGGATGTGGTCCATGAAGGCGACAACGCGGTCGGCCGACATGGGGGAGGCGTGGAGGCCGGCGGCGGCCAGGAGCGGGGCCACATGGAGGGGCATGGAACACTGGGCAGCATTGAGGACGAAGAGCTCGCTCCAGGTGAGCCGCAGCAAGGCCACCTGGTCGGTGATCTGCAGGTCGGGGAAGAAGGGAATATTGCGGGCCCACTCGACGGCGCTGAAGAGCAGACGGGCGGCCAGCTCGCAGATGTTCTCGATGCCCATGATGTTGTTGGGCTGCATGCACTGGCTGCCGTAGCGGGAGGTGGGGTAGGGCTCGGCCCGCAGCAGGAGGGAGATGTATCCCGAGAGATAGCAGTGCCCATTCAGAGGGTCGCCGTTGGTCAGGGCGTACTGGCCGGGGTTGGGTTGGGTGGGCGGCATTCTTCCTCGCTGAACCGCTGACAAAAAGAAGGAGAGAAGGAGAGGAAATGTGCATCCAGGAGGCTCGCAGGCATCGCCCCGGCGGCGCTGCCAACCAGCCGGAGACAATGCCGGGCTTCTTCCCCTCCCCGCCACCGCCTCGCCCCCGGCACACGCACAGGCACGGACAGACAGAGGCATGCGGAGTCGGGCAGCTGCCGCCGACCTGCATTGAGCCCCCCGCCCGGCCCCTGCATCGGCCCCGGCCCCGACCCCTGCTCAGGCAGCCTCAGCCCAGCGGCAGCCAAGCGCGTTCCACTCCCCCCACCCCCGACCACAATGCAGACAGGCTTCACAAAATAAACAGATTAAAAAGAAAGGGGAAAAAAAAAAAAAAAAAGCCAAGGCAAACAAGACAAATCCGCACACAACCCCCTCTTCCCCCCTCCCCTCTCGTAACAAAAGAAAGGCCCGCACGTAAAAAAAAAAAAAAAAGGAAAAAAAAATCAAAGAAATCCTGCGGGTGGTGAGAAAGTAGAGTTAAAAATCACAGCCAACTGTAAAAAATATAGCCACGCTCTCTGGTGAATCGCAGCCTACTGCCCTTATACCGCTGAAATGCACAAGTAAATTGATGTATCCCTTTTTAGAATGAAATATTAAATAAAATAATTCATAAAACCAAATGCGTCCATATTCTTCAAAAAATACCTCAACGTTACCCTTCAAGCTGGAACAGGTCGCAGCGTTCCAGCTCCCCACTGCTAACTTTATCACACAGAACCAGCTTTCCATCGAGACCCCCCTCCCCCGCCCAGCAAAGTTTTCCCTGCTAAAAGGAAGAGAAAGGTTAAATATTATCAAGGGAAAGGGGGAAATAAAATAAAAATGTCCGAACTTACAATAGCCAAACATTCGTGGGAAAAAAAAGGGGACGGTGTAATTAATATCTTTGGTGAGCTGTTGCCACTGCAAAAGCCTGCAGTCAGCGTTGCACAGTGAATGCACAAGCTTGCAACTGCAAAAACACTGGATTCATTAACCATCTCCACACAGAGCGTAAGCATGCCTCGAGTCCCGAAAGCTGACCAAAGTTGGTTTTTTTTTGTTGTTTTTTTTTTTTTTTTTTTTTTTTCTTTAGTGTGTGCGTGTGTTTTATTCCTTCAGTGCCAGCGTTTGCAACCGCTTGCCATGTAAACAAATGTAACTTCAGGGGAAGATACGGCTACTCAGGCTTGTACCCTGCACACACAGACACCCCGCACAACCGCACACGTTTGCAGGCACACACCCGCACATGCAATCACTCATGTTTCCGGCGCGCCACATTTTTCTCAACTTTCTCTTTTCTTCCCCGACGAGCCCTCCTCCCACCCGGGCCAGATCTCTGTCCTGCTGCCCTTCAGCCTACCTCTCCCTCTTCAATCTACTTGTAAACTTGGCAGATATTTTTCATTTAACTGCATGCATAATTCTCACTTTTTTTTTTAATTTTTTCTCCTTCCTTTAAAAAAAAATTTGCTTGCCTCCACTCTCCTAGGTGCCTACCAACAGCCCCTGCAACTACCAATGAAGCCATCATATTTGTGAGCTCTTTCAGATCTGGAGCAGCCTAATTCAAATTCTTTTTCCGTGGCATATAAAATACAGTTTTAAAATCCCTGCTCTGCAAAATCACCTATTTTGCTGACGTGACATCTTTAGAACATCTTTAACGACAGTCACAGGGTAAACTTTAAACCGAGAGAACATGTTTCAAGGAGAAAGGAGGGCAGCAATTCTCCCTACACGAGGATGAGTCTGAACGCAAGGAAAACCACAGACAACTTTTGGAAAGAAGGAGAAAAAAAATCAGCAGAGCGCTTGGAAATAGTGGGGACCCCGTGCCAGATGCAGGCTGCGGATGCTGCTAAAATGAGAAGAACCGGTAAAGAGGTTATAAATCGAGATTTGTATGAAGACTTTAAGGAGAGGGTGGAGTTTGATGCAGAAATAAAATGAGCAGCGCACTTAAAAAAAAAAAAAAATGACAGAAGTACAGAAACACGGTTCAGTCACAAACTTTCCTTTGAATGCATGGAATGAAAACAAGGCCAAATCTCTCACAGAAGCACACTCCTGGGCACCGGGAAGCACATGGAAGCGAAGACAGAGTAGCACATTTCCTCCCCTTTTCTTCTTTTTTTTTTTTTTCCCTTTTCTCCCTTCTATCTTTTTCACACCCTTTCCTCTTTCTTTAATTACAAGTCTTTCATCTTTCTTTCGGGTAAAATGAGCCTGAGAGATGAATCTCAAATACCGAGAGGTATTGCAGGTTTAAAAAGAAATGATGGGGTGGAAAGGGGGTGGGGAGGGGGTGAGGGGGAAGGAAGCTGAATGGAGTCACATCTCGTACGGGAGAAAGATGTATCTCCCCCCACCCTCCGGTCTCATGCCAACAATAGACAAAACCACATCTAAAACACGCACACGCACACACGCATACACGCGCGAGCAGGGGGAAGTGGGGATAGCGGCTAAATGATAAATATTTAGCAAGCGATTGTAATAATAGTAGTAGTAATAATAATAATAATAAATTCTCTGCACAATTATCAGGAAAGGGGAGAGTGTGGCAGTGCTGTAGAAGGGGGTGGGGAGGAGCGGGAGGGAGGGCAGGAGGCACACACCGAAAAGCAAAAGAAAACACCACCAACCACCATCGACAATAACAACAGAACCTGGTGCAAAGCTGCCAGATGGAGTGCAGGCAGAGGAAGAGATTGACATGTGCATGGAAATATATAGAGAGTCCTGGCTGGATTGCTACGGAGAGCTGTAAATATATATATATATATATATATATATATATGCACATATATATATATGTGTGTGTGTATTTATTTTTACATATTTATATTTATATGTGTGTGTGTTTGCACGCCGCGCGTGTGCGCGCGCGCGTGTGTGTATAGCTATATGTATATGCATATAGGTGCGCGTGTGTGCGCGTACGGACAGGCAGACACAGACAGACGGAGAGCCCTCGCACACGCACGCCTGCACAGCCAAGGGGAGAGGGGAGCGATAGCATAGTAGTGAAGAAATATTCACCTTCCCGCCTCATGCCCACTTTGAGGCACTTCTTGAGGCGGCAGTACTGGCACTGGTTGCGGTGGTGCTGGTCGATGGGACAGTTCCTGTTGGCGCGGCATGTGTAAGTTAAGTTCCTGCGGACGCTCCTCTTGAAGAAACTTTTGCAGCCCTCGCAGGTGAACTGGCCGTAGTGCTTGCCGCTGGACTTGTCTCCGCACACCACGCATTCGATGTGCTGCTGGCTCTGCCCCGAGCCCTGCTGGCCCGTTCCCTTGTCTCCGGCCGTGCCCGGCGTGGAGGGGGGTCCCGGCTGGCTGGGGGTCTGCGGGGTGTGTGGGGTGGCCGAACTCCCCTGCTGCTGGGGCTGCTGCTCCCGGGCCGGCTGCGTCGCGGCCGGGTTGGGGCCGCTCGGAGTGCCCCCGGCCACGTCTTCCTGCGGATCTCGCCAGCTGCTAACTACCATTGCCATATCTCGGGCCCAAAAAAGTGCTGGGGAGCGGCGCGTCTCGCTGCGGGCTGCCGGGGAGTGAGGCGGGGGGCGGGGGGGTGGCGGCCGCCCGGGCGCCGGGGGCGAGCGGAGAGCGAGGGGACCCTTGCTGCCGCCTGCCTCCGCCTCTGCTGCCTCCGCCGCTGCCCTGCTGCCGCCGCCGCTGCTGCCGGCTGGAGCCGCTCCTGCCGTTTTCTTTATTTTATTTATTTTTCGCCGCCGAGAGCCCCCCTCCTCTCGCTCGCGCTCTTGCTAATTTTTTTTTTAGAGAGGGGGAGGGGGCGACGGAGGATTTTCTCTTTCTCTCTTCCCCCCCCCTTTCCTTTCCTTTTCCTCCCTTCCTTTTCCTTTCCTTTCCTTCCCTGCCCTTTCCAGCGCTCCCCCCTCTTTAAAATACCCCCGCCTGACCGCTTCTCCCCTC